AGATGCCTCCTCGCAGGAGTGAGGAAAGGTTGGGCTATGAGAGCGCAGAGTTCCTCAAAAGGCCTTTAGCAACAGGAAGTGCCCCAAAGAAAGAGTGGCCCCTTCTGCGCAGAGGGGGTATGGGAGGGCCCTAGAGAAGACCCCTTTGTGGGGAACGTGGCGGAGCCTCCGGGGGGCCAGGCTAGAGAGGCCGGTGGTCCCCGCCTCTGTGAAGATGCTGGGAAGACGAAGAAGATTTCCATCGGAGCCAGCATCCTTTACTGATTGACTTATTGTGGAAGTATTTACACCCCACCTTTCCTCTTGGCTCAAGGTGGCTTACCTTGAACCTTCCTCCGGGCTTTTGGCCAGGGCCTCCAGTTTTTTTCCAGTACCAGGATTCTGTCCTCCTCCTCAAATCCTCCTTTGCCCTTCCAGATGTGGGACGCCCCTTCTGCAGCCATCTGTCCCCTCAGCCTCTCTGCAAGAGGAAGGAAGGAAGAGGCCAGTCCAACGTGGTGGCTCGGTCCGGGCCCCTGCAGGGGCTTCTCTCCTGAGGACAAACAGAACCTGCTTCCTGGGGGGGGGGGCTGCAGCCCATAAATCTATTCTCAGTCCCCTTCTAGGGCAGTGCAGTCTGCCGGCTGGGAAGGAATCCAAAAGGGTATCTCTGGGCATGTTCAGAGTGCTTTCTCCCTCACTGCTGAGCAGCTGTAGCCCCCCCAGCCACCAACACCTGCTGTCAGGAACCAGGCGGTCAGGTGGGAGTTGCAGAGAAGTACATCTTATTTTAACTCAAATGCTCTTTATTTAAAAGTATGTAGAACATGATCTGCTCTTTTCACCTGAAACAGAAATTCAAGGCAGCTTCCGTGGTGAAAGAAGGAGGGGGGGGGGGACACCAGATAATTAAAATACAAAACCAACAGCCCTCAGTTATTAACAATAAAAGAAGAACCCAGCTTGCTGCCCCAGATGAATTCTCCCTCTGGGAGCCCAGCCCTGGAGCCTTGGAAAGACCTACCCGGCTGGTCCCAGCCGTCCTCTGGAGGTTGTCCGGCTGTCTGAGCTCCTGTGCTAGCCGGGCGACTCCCGCACACCTGCCTCCCCGGCCCTCCCCCTCCACCACGCCCTCCCCTTCCCTGACCTCTAACCATCCGCCGGGCCTTCATGGTCCCTGCAGGAAATGCCCTTGTGAGAGGCAGGCAGGCAGGCAGGCGGCCCAGGTGTTGCTGGATTGAACTGGCCGGGCATCTCTGGGAACTTGCTTGAACTGCCAGGCGGCCAGCCAAGGTGGCCGTCAGATCCTGAAGGCTCTGCTCAGGGGCAAGCGTGCCGGCTGGCCTCCGGCTTCCAGTAGCCAAGCCCGGACGGGCCCCTGGGCAGTGCCCCGCAGCCGAGACCCCCAAGGGGCTGCCTGACAGCACACAGAAGCAGCCGCAGCAGCCACTCCCCGAAAGGAGGCTCTCTCCCAAATGGCCCCGCGTCTCCAAATCAGGGCCATAACTGGAACCCGCTCCGGCATTGTGGTGCATGGTCAGAGACACCCACTGTATTGTGTCTTCCCTGCAGGGTGAACAGACCCCCCCCCCCCCGGGTCCGATCTCTCTGGCGGAGCAGACGGGAGGAGGAGGGCCCTTCACTCGGCACCTTAGAGAGCATGGAGCCCTGCCACCCCCACCCCAGTGCCCTTCCTTCAGTGCAGATTTGCTGCAGATCAGATGAGGAGGGTTGGCAGCCCCCAGGTGGGGCCCGGAGATCTCCCAGAATTGCCACTGATCTCCAGACGGCAGAGGTCCGTTTCCCTGCAGAAAATGGCTGCCCTGGAGGGCGGGCCCTGTGGACTCTGAAGGACATTCCAGCATTGGCGGCTTTGTAGCCCGTCCCTTTCCCGATAGAGTTTGCCCTTTTCAGGGCTGGCCCCACACGGAGTGGACATTTTCACCCTGCCCATCGCAACCCCGAGATCTTTCTCAGTATTGGACCCAGCCAGTTCAGAACCCACCAGAAGCTGTTCAACGGCCGGACTGAAAGGTGAGTCTCCCCCCCCTCCCCCCCCGCAGTTGTGCCTCACCCGGCCCTTCGTTTGGCACACTGCTGAGAGAGAGGGGTCCCTGGAGATATTTGCCATCCACACGGGCCGTTCCCAGCCTGGGTAATGTTGTGTCATCTGCACGACACGACCCTGCTCACCCCCCCCGGCTCAGATTATTTATGAACAAATGTGAACGGCACCGGCACCAGCCCCGATCCTTGTGGGACCCCGCAGCTTCTTTCCTTCCACTGCGAGAGCTGCCCGCTGGTACCGACTCCCTGCTTCCTGCCACCGGGACATCTTTGGATCCACAAGAGGGTTGCTAAGCTGCTGGTGGGGGTGGTGGGGTCAGTGAGGCTCCTTCTGTGCTGGGACTTTTGCCGGGATCCAGCACAGACAGGACAACCTGGAGACTCGGCTGCCCTTTGCCCCCCCCCCCACTCCCAGGGGCCAAAGTGTGACTCAGGCCTGGACAGGGATGATGAAGCAGCTGCAATTAGCTCTGCCGCCCCCCCCCCCTCCAGAGCCAGGCTTGGTCAGGGGCCGGTGGCGAGATGCCTTCCGGCTTGGCTCATCCCCCCAGGAAGGATCATCACAATGCCTCCCCCCCCCCGCAGGGCACAGACCGTCCCCGCAGCAGCAGGCAGCCAAAAGGCGTTCCAGACGGGAAGGGGCCCGCTGTGTCTGGCCTGGCCGGGCCCGTCAGGGACTGGCCCACAGAGCCCTCGGAACAAGCCGGCAAGCAGGCCTTAAATGGGCAAAGGCCCGCAGCAGAGGGAGCGTGACGCCCCGGCCTGGCGGATGCTGGCAGTGCTTCAGCAGGTGCGGTCTTCCACCCCACGGCCTCCCCAGGCCCAGCGCTGCCCCTGTGGGATTTAGGCCTGCCGCGTAGCTGCTCCAGGCTCAGACTCGGGCAGGCAGCCCCGGGCAGCCTCGGCCTTGAAGCCGCTCCAGGCTGCTCCCTGGACTCAAGCGCCCTCCCGGCCGCCACCCCCTCCTGACCTCAGAGAATCCTCCTCTACCATCCCAGCAAGCCTGGATTGTCCCGTCCTTCGGGTACCCCCCCCCACACACGCACGCTCACTCGCTTTCTTTTTTTGGAAACTGACAGAGCTGTTATTATCATTATCAAGGCTGGGAAGAATGTCAGCCGCTGGGCCGGGCTGGCCCTCTCCTCCCTCTGTTTGTCCGGAGCTTCCACTTTGGGGAAACTTTCCACAGGGATCCAAGTGATGCACGCGGCCCTAAATTTAGCCTCTGGAACCAGAGCCCTGGAAGGAGCCCAAGAGGCACTCGGGCCTTTATAAGCGCCGCAGCTGCCGCCTTGCGGGGACCGCCGTGCCAGAGCCCCTGAGGGCCACTCTCGCGGAAGAAGAAGAGCTCCTCGGTTCTCCCCTCTTGGCCAGCCCCCCCCCCAGCACGGATGAGCTTGCAGTAGGCCTCTGCTCTCTCCTCCGCCTCCAAGTCCGAGCGGCAGCCAAGTCCGAGCGGCCCCATGGAGAAGGCCCACGGGATATTCGCCGAGGACTTCGGGGGCTTCCGGAGGCCCCGCAACGAGCCCTTGGGGTTCTCAGGCAAGTGAGCGAGGGCGGTGGCAGAGGAAACAGGGACAGCCTGCAGGGCCGGGGAGCGGGTCCCCCAAGCGCCCTCCCCCTCGTGTCACTTGCCACAAGCCCCCTCACCCCCAAAGGTCCAGAGGCAGCCGGGGTGATGCGGGGGCTTGAGGCCCGCCAAGGCCATGCTCCACCCCCTGGCACTGAGCCGACGGCTTCCCATCTGGGGGTTACTGACTGTATTTATTAATATATTCATACCCTGCCTTTCCTCTCGGTTCAGGGCACCTGCAGTAATAATTAAAACATTACTACTTAAAACCAAACTAAAATAACAAACTCTAAATACTTCCCCCTCCCCCCAACGCACGCCTCTTTGTAGCTCACAGCCACCCACCGGTTCTGCGGCTTCAGGGGGGCTCAAAGTTTTGATTTGAAGGGAATAATTTGAGAGCCATCCTTGCAATCCCCACCTGGCCCAGCAGCAGGAGGCAGAGCTGCTGTGGGGGCTCGAGGGGTGCAAAGAAGCCCAGTCCGCTGCCCGCCCGCCCCCCCCCGCTCCCGGAGGACTCTGCACATGCTCTTGTCCAGAGCCTCTGGTATTCAGAACAAATTCTGTGACGGAGCCCAGGGCAAAGGGTCCATGTGAATGCCAGAAGTGACCAGAGAACTGCTAGGGAGAGACTCGCTCTAGAGTGCTGCTGCGTTGCAGGGTGAGGGAGGCCTGGGTTCGAAGCCCAGCCTCGTCTGGCCGTTCACTGGGTGTGGCCCTGGCCAGACATGTGCAGCTGCTGGAGAGGTCTTGCCTCTGGGGGGGTGGGGGTGGGGGCAGGCAGCTGACTCACCAGAGGGCTTTCTAAGAGGACACCCTGCCCTTTTGGACCCTTTTCAAGGAGAAAAGGTCAGAATGGCCATGTTTGACTGGGTGCAATTAGGTCGGTTGTCTTTGTCAGGCAGACCGAGAGGGAGGGAGGGAGGGAGGGGGTCCCAACTTGTGTGTCTGTGTGAGAGAGAGGGGTGTGCGTGTGCTTTGCCCTTGGCAGAGTGATGCGCCCATCTGAGATTGTTTGTTTGCCCTGATGCTGGCTGGCATCTCGCACACGGGAGAAGACCAGAAGGCCCCCAGGGCCAGGGCAGGGCTGCAGCTGGGCGGGGCAGGGGCCGCAGGAGGCGCTCTTCTGCACCAGAAGCTTTTCTCTCCCTCTCCCCAGCTGCAAGCAGGCAAGGAGGCACGCCTCTTGTGGAAGGCCGGCAGCGAGGGGGAAGAGCCGCTGGGCTGAACCGAGCCGTTCACAGGGGCCGGGGGGGGGGGGGGTGTTCCTGCAGGCGTCCCGTGCCCAGAGATGCTGGTTGCAAAACTGAGGAATTCTTGCAGCCGGACCGAGCTTCTCAGACTCCTCTGTTTGTCCCAGCAGCAGGCCGTGCCGGAGGAAACATGGGGAACATTAAGACTCTGGGGGACACCTACCAGTTCTCGGTGGACGTCAGCGACTTCTCTCCGGAAGACATTGTCATCACCACCTCGAGAAACCAGATCGAAGTCCATGCGGAGAAGGTGAGCGGTCCCTCCGCTGGCGGAAGAGGCGGTCTGGTCCCTGCTCACGCCACCTCTCAGGCACCGCCTCCTTTCTGCAATGGACGTGTGGAACTCCCGTCCACTGGATGCAGTGGCAGCCACTAGCATCAGTGGCTTTGTAAGGAGCTTAGGCAGGCTCAGGACAGAGCGGACCCTCAGCAGCTACCGGCCATTGCAGCTGAATGAAAGCCTCATACTCAGAGCCAGGGGACCTCTAAACGCCAGCGTTTGGGAGGCAGGGATGGGGGAGGCTTCAGCCTCCATGCTTTTGCCTGTGGGCCCCATGGGGGTGGAGGTCTGGCTGGCCGCTGTGGGAAAGAATGCTGGCCACGATGCCCACCCCTGGCAAGTCTCCTCTTGTGATCCGCCGAGGTTGGTTAAGGCGTGCCTCCATTCCCCTACCTGCAGAACTCGTGGCAGCCCTTCCTGCGTAATAAAAACCAGGGTGGGTGATGCCGTTCCTTCCCACCAAAGAGTCAGAGAGGGTTCTCAAGAGGGTCGTCTGTGGCCAGATGCAGGGTGGGCCCAGGATGGCCGTGGCCGGTCCCAGGGCTGTGAGGGGGGCCACTCGCGGGCCAGCGAAGCCCCACGCCATTCCCGTCCCAGACGAGAGGGCTCCCGACAGCGCCCGCTGCCCCGTTTGGCCCACGGAGCTCTCAGCCGCCACCAGCAGGCCACGCCGCACGCCGAGCCCCTCTGCATCTCCCTGGAAGGCAGACAGGCTCTTCTGGGCACATGCGGTGGCGGTGGGCAGCCCCCAATGTGGCCAGGCGCAGGCTGGAAGCCCTGGAAGGAGCACCAGAAGGGCGTTCCCATTTCACAGACCAAACCGCTGAGGCCTGGAGCGGAGAACCCCCCCTGGCGAGCCTCGGTCACTCTTTGGGGTCCCCCAAAGGAGCCCCCCCCTGGGGAGCACACCGAGAAGAGTCTGCTCACCCTCCCTCGCAGGGGCAGCGCTCAGGAAAGGGCTCCCCCCTCTGCGGTGTGGCATGCCCCTCCCCTGCCAGGAAGGTTCCGGGAGAGAGGCAACCCCCCCGCCCGGCCCGACTCCCACCTCTCCCTTGCCTCCCCTTGCAGCTGGCTCCTGACGGGACCCTGGCGAACACCTTCACCCACAAGTGCCAGCTCCCCGAAGACGTGGACCCCACCTCCGTGACCTCCGTGCTGGGCGTGGACGGCTCCCTCACCATCAAGGCGCGGAGGGGCCCACCGAGGCAGCCGGAGCACGGCCAGCAGACCTTCCGGACTGAGATTAAAATCTGAAGGAGGGGCCGGGGGGCCGCCTTCGGAATTCTCTCTGTATATAATGGATGGACCCGAGTCTGTACAAACGCTTGGCAGCCCCCAGCCAGCCAGCCAGCCGAAGGAGGGGGGCCGTGCAGAGCTTCACCCCAACAGTCCCGAATGGGTGTGACCCTGGCTTAGGGTGGCAGAGGGAGGTCGGAGGAGGAGGAGGAGGAGGAGGGGGGGGGCAGAGACACTCTCCTCTGTCAGAGAGAGAGAGAGAGAGAGAGAGAGAGAGAGAGAGAGAGACGTTTCCAGCCCTGAATCTCTTGAGCTTCCTGGGTGGAGAGCCTTTTTTGATGGGAGGGGGTAGCACGGACCCCCGTCTGCCACGCACGCGTCCTCCCCGCCCCCGCCCCCTGCCCCAAAGGAGTGCCCCCTGAAGATGCCCAGAGCCAAGGGGGGAGGCTCCTCCGAGCTGCTGCACAGCTTCCTCCCCTCCCTACTGGGTGGC